CATTTCCATAATGTACTCCCTGATATTTCCTTTGCCCTTATACTTCATTGAAATCAAGCGAGCTAAAAGCGTGCTTGTTTCTACCTTATCATTTTTCGCAAAACGTTTCTCAATTTCTGCAAGGAAATCTTTAGTCTTAGTAATCCCTTCGGATTCTATACCCCTGAAGGCTTCCGGAACGCCGCGCTTAATGATCATAAGACTTCATAAGACTCATGCGATTTGAACGCTCCTACTTCTCATACTCCTTCTTTGCATCAGGAGTGCTATCCGTATTGAGAGGTTGGGGTTGTTCAATTCTTAATGCAAGGTCTAGATCCATGCAGCCAAGAACAATTAATATATTCTCTTTCCAAACCTTGAAGTTTGTCCCATTTAGCATGAGAATTGAATTGATGTTAGCAGAAATTGTTGCAGCAGATGCATTAGCTAAAATAAAACAAAAAAATACTCACATTAATAACCATAATTAGTAATCAATAAAATTTAAATAATGACAAATCCCATCCAAGATATCTGGCACAACATTAATATCAAGTCTTTGGATAGTAATATTAACTTGTAAGTGATACATTGTTGCAATGATCAAACATTGACAATAACTCATGTCAAATAATGAAACTATCTTTGGATCGATTCATTATTCACATGTAAACCTTATAATTATCACAAGCTTATCATCGCAGATGTGTATACAGTCTAAATAAATATTAACCTTCCTTTGGGCCGATTAAATATTTATACGAAAGCATACATAGAAACATCTCACATTCCTTATGAACAATCTATACAAGAGAGGTTACTTTGGCAACTTCTTGTTTTAATTAATCAATTGGAGTGAGAGACATCCTTAATACCTTAGTGTCATAATATTTGAATTAAATAATTGATTAAAAAACCAAACTGAATTTAAATTAAATTAAATTAATTTAAATTTCTATAGCTTAAATAGGGCCTCATTGCTTAGTTAGGGTCCATAACTTAATTGAATAAATTAAGTATACCAAAGTGGACCCATAAAAAACCGAGGCTTAAGCATAGTGAACACGAAGTTCGCTTGACTTCGAACGTAAAGTTCGACTGTATTGAGTACAAGACTCACCTAAGAACGAACACGAGATTTGTTTGAAAAATGAACGTGATCTTCAACTTGAGAACGAACGCGAGGTTCGTTTGGATTGAGCACAGGGCTCGCCTGAGGATGAACGTGGAGTTCGACCTGAGAATGAACACAATGTTCAACTTGAGAACGAACGCGAGGTTCGACCTGAATTGAGCGCGAGGCTCAACTTGAATTGAGCGCGAGGCTCACTTGAGAACTGAGCGCGAGGCTCAACTTGAATTGAGCGCGAGGCTCACCTGAGAACTGAGCGCGAGGCTCAACTTGAATTGAGCGCGAAGCTCACCTGAGAACGAACGCTAAGTTCGTTTGAATTGAGCGCGAAGCTCACCTGAGAACGAACGCTAAGTTCGTTTTAATCGAGCACGAAGCTCACCTGAGAACGAACGCGAAGTTCGTTTGAAATTGAGCGCGAAGCTCACCTGAGAACGAACGCGAAGTTCGTTTGAAATTGAGCGCGAGGCTCAATTTGAATTGAGCGCGAGGCTCACCTAAGAACGAACGCGAAGTTCGTTTGAAGCTTTCAAGCCTCGCCAAAATTTGAGGTAACCACCTCCTTAATTTTTACCACGTTTTCACGCACGAACCCTAAGGGTTTCAATCTGAAACCGCCGCCGCCATTGCTCCTGCACCATAAGGTCGAAACCCTAGGGTTTCCTGATGCAGCCGTCGCCGTCGGAGTCGAGAGCGAGGCCGCCAGCGAAACTTCGCCAGCGAGGAGCATGGGACCGAAGACCAAACCCAAAAAGAATCCAAAATTCCTCGATTTTATTTTCAAATCCAGATCCAGAATCGGAAAAACAAAAGAATGATTTCTTGATCTAGATCCCAAAAAATCGAAGAAAAAGCCCAAAAAAAGTAAAAAAATTTTACCGTTCACAATTTTTACTGTTCATCTGAAAAATATAAAACATAACTGTTCATCCGAACGTTACTGTTCATCCGAAAATAGTTCTAAATCCAAATCAGCGATTAAGGACTTCGTTGAGCGCCATTGATCGATTGATGATCGGTCGTTGATGTTTGTTGTGTGGGTGTGTGTTTTTTTTTTGGGGTGAATAAGTCTATATGGCCCAGTTTGGCAAAGAGTTAATGAAGAGGGGTTAAAGAGAAGGATTAATGTACTTAGTCCATTTGATAATCCGAAAGACTAAATTATTAACCCGTTAAATAAGTTTTATTTTAGTCCTTATGATCAGTTTTAGTGTTTGGGAATAACAATGATTTTGACTATTTTCTTTATAATTAGAAGGGTTAACTCTTATTCCATCTAAATAGGAGTATTAGTAAACCCCTCATTTTGAGGGGTTAACTCATTTTAACCCCTCTAGAGGGGTTAACTTAACCCTGCTATATTTTTTATATTTGGCAAATTATAGAGGGTTAACTCACTTTAACCCTTATATAGATTTGTTGTGTTTGGCAGGTTAAGAAAGGGTTAAGTCTCCTTAACCCCTCACTTAACCCTTTGCCAAACAGTACCTTAATTACTAATTTACAAGTAGCAATCTAGTTAAGATTGAATCTTGATGGAAAGTTTGTTAAACTAGGAGATGAGCAGTCATTTTCCCTCACATATAACCCCATGATTTATTTAAATACCCATTAACCCAAATTAATTGATCACTTTAGTGGATTATCATTAAACAATAGCAATACACATTGATTAATCAAATGTGCCCACAAATAGATTTAATTAGATTAAATCCAACAGTTATTTAGTATGTCATTAGTAATAATTTAATAAAACAATATTAAAGTAGAACCATTTGCATATAAAAGTATCAGTAGATATCCTGAGACAATAACAAAGCCCCTTTTATCCTAAGTCATTCGGATCCTATCACGCGTTTTCGGGGTCAAACAATGCTAGACGCTAGTGATGATAGTTCCAACATTGCTTTCTTCGGATTTAAATTTTGATCCCTTTTTTTATGAGAATAGGCAAGAAAAAAGAAATGAACTCAAATGATGTACAAGATTTTTTTTTTAAATCTACAGGGCTGTGATTTGCTTGGTGCCAGATGCTTTATATGGGCAAAAGACGTGATGGAAAGAGACAGCAAAAATAAATTAGGTACATTCCATAAGCCCAGAAAATGCCAGTGTCTTGTATATGTTGTTGGACTTAATCAATGCCCATGTGTTGCTTTCTGGGCTCATTAATGGGCCAAACGAAGTAGCATTAGAGCATCTCCAACAGCTTCCCCATCTTCTTGAAATACTCAATTTTAGAGAATATAGAGGTTTTTTTTGGTCCAACAGATTCTCCATCCCATTCCCCAAAATAGGGAAGTAGGAGAAAAAATAGGGAGCCTTCCCCAAATCTGCAGCATTCTCCAAATTTTTGGAGAGAGCTTTATTATTGTAATAAATGCGATTTTTCAAAATGGGGAAGCTGTTGGAGTTGGAGCAAAAGTAATTTGGAGAATATGACTTTTGTTTCTCCATTTTGAAGAAAATTTTGAGGAAGCTGTTGGAGATGCTCTTATTTGCATACTAAGGTAATAGCTACGGCCCCCACCACAAAAGTTCACAAGGTATTGAATATTTCTTTATACGAGCTCCCCATGGCTACCCTTCGTATCCATGGTGATTTTTTTTTGTCCATGTTCACGTTTTATAGAAGTTCACAAGGTATTGCATCTTTCTTTATTTTTGGACGTTCAAGTAATTAGTTCTTGGACTTATCATCTTTTAAAAACATACAAACTTTGGACCTTATGATTTTTTTGTAAAACATTCAACCATATTATTGAATGAAAAGATTTCATAAAAGTAATTACCCAAGTGATGTTCTATAAAATCCTTTTATTCAATAATTTTTTTGTTCATATCAAATAATTGTGTTTTACTTCTGATTATACTTTCTCTTGGAAAACTTAAAACTATTAAATCTTTTTTCAATAAAAGAGATAACAATAACTTAAACCATCGCTATTTTCAACTTTGAAAATTTTGAAAACTAGGCTTACAATAAAATCATTGATAGATTTTAACAGACAACTTGGTGGTTTTGTAAAAATTTTTTATCACCGACATGATCATAAAGGAATTTGGTTCCATGAATTGTCGCAGTCGCAGAGCATATCTTTCTTAAGAAGTACTTGAGCTACTTTTATTTCTTTTATTGTTTTACATATGTCTTATAACTTTTATTATTTGAATTTTTATCATGTATAACTATGAATGAAAAAAAGTATAAAAAATTAGTTAGAACTTAGTCTTCTTTTGTGAGATAAATAAGAAGACGCCTATGTATTAGCGCCTCAAGATAAAATTTGGGGCTCTCTCCTAGTCCTTCATGTTTGCCTTCATTTTCTTTTAGCACCTTTCAACTCCATTATTAGTACTTCCCTCAATTTATGAGAAGGGCCAAAAATAAAAAAAAGTTAATTTGCGTGAACACTTTGGTTTGCGGCCTGTTCGAGCCTCCAAACTGACAATACGCGAAGCATGTGTGTGAGGTTCTGAACATCGATCAATGCTTTTTGTGTTGTTTCTGGCCATGATGAGCCTGAAACGAACAAGGAGAGTGTGTAGGAGAGAATTGAGAGAGAAATGAACAGAGGTTGAAGAAGAATTGTAGACAGAGATGAGAGTTGAGGAAGAGAAACTTTTATTTCATTAATTCATAAATCCTCATTGAACTTTACAACTCTGTATTTATACAGTCTGATTCTAGAGTATAGGAAATCTGCACACACAATAACGTGCACACAGTTAACAGAAAAAACAGAAACAGTTAGGACTGAACTGGACATTTAATACAGGACCCTTGTAGTTAAAAGTGTTTGCAAGTCAGCCCCCAAGCTTTGCGTATCAGTCCCCCAAGCATGCGTATCAGTCCTCAGCTTCATAGGCTCTGCACTGGCTTAGTTCACAGGTTACCAACCTGATCATTGGTCCCTGACAAATTCCCTCCCCTTAATTTGGACCTTGTCTCAAGGTCAAATGCAAATTTGTCAATGATAACCTTAGCTAGGGAAGCCAAGCAGTTGGTGGTGCAGCTAGCATTAGAAACAATATCAATGTCAGGCTTGTATGACTTCTCATTTACACCAACAACGAACATTGAGGCGTCCTTGCTTGGTACATAGATGATAACTTTCTTGGCACCATCCTTAAGGTGAGCTGCAGCCTTATCCTTGTCGGTAAAGACACCCGTGGACTCGACAATGTACTCGGCTCCAATCTTAACCCAAGGGATCTCCTCAGAGTTCCTGCAGCCAAAAACAGAAACCTCTTCCTCACCAAAGAGAAGGGTCTTAGAATCCTTCACCTTCAATTCGTGTTGCTTCCACGCACCATGGACACTATCATACTTAAACCTGTAGGTCATGTAATCAGTAGAAAGGAACAGATCATTCACAGCAACCAGCTCCACATCATTTCGCTGGAGAGCGACTCTTGCAACCAAACGCCCGATCCTTCTAAACCCGTTGATTCCGATCTTGATCTTCTTGATATGATCTTCAGAATCAAGATTTGGGTTGAATGGTTTATCTTGAGTGGCATCAGTAACAACTGTCTCCGCACTAGCTCCTTCAGTCTCCAACAAAGGATGCTCATGTGATGAAATGGCAGTTAACTGACTTAATTGATTCCCATTTCCATTCAACACTTGAGAACCTTTTCCTCAATCCTTCACTTCACTTCCAAATGAATACTTTTGAGACATGGAGGCTCCATTCCAACATGGTGAATCTACAGCAAGATTGGGCCGATCAAGTATTTCTGAAGAAATTTGCAAGGAATTTTCAGGCCTGGATGAAGATGCAATTGGCTCCATAAAGTTCAGTTCCAAATTCATTTATCACCTCTGTTTTCTTTTTCTGTTTTTCTTTTTTTTTTTACCTTACTGGAGGCCAATTGTTTTCCAATCTCCACCCACTTATTCTTGACTGGTTAGGACGAACCAATCTTGAAAATCTGACCACCAACTTTTTTCTCGAGCTCGGCCCTCGAGATCCCCTCAGGAGGCACTTTTGAAAAAACTTGAGCCTCCGACGATCTGTTCAAAGCATACAACTTCATCTTCTTAGTCTTCTTCTTTTTGCTTGAGATTGGCCATGGTGGGTTCTTGAGCTTTGGCTTTCTCTTGCATGAGATTGGCCATGGCGGGTTCTTGGGCTTCGATTTTCTCTTGCTGGAGATTGGCCATGGCGAATTCTTGAGCTTTGGCTTTCGGTGGAGATGAGAAGACTGCGGCTTCTTCATCTTCTTCTTCCTTTCATCAGATGTTGGAGATCGATGGAGACGAGAAGATTATGGCTTCTTTGTCTTCTTCTTCCATGCAGTAAATGTTGGAGAGAGATCAACATCTACTTTAGGCGATCGATTCCGGTTCCTCCACGAACACCTCAAAGACCCCTACAGGTTCTTGGTGGATCTCAATGGCTCACTGAGGCATTTCGTCGAACACCTTTGTTAGGTTTTCTTAGAAGAAGAAATCTGAGTTGAATTTGGAGAGACTGGGAAAGATTGGAGATGAGTTTCGCGGGAAGAGACTGGGAAAGATTGGAGAACACCAGTGAAATCAAACTTCCTCTGAGATTGATGGTCGTGTTCATTGACTTGATTCCTAACGCTTGATCCCATAATTCCACGGTCGCTTCTTGATTTTGAGCTCAAGATTCACCGATCGTTCTTCATCCCAGAACCCAAGATTCCTTGGCCCAGATCCCTGGTGCCTAGCCCCAATATTCCCCGATCACTTCTTGGCTCCGAGCTCAAGACCCTCCCTCCGTTCATCTCTTGCTCCTGATCTTATGACTCCTTGGCCTGATCCTTGGAATTCCTGAGTTCTTGGAGAAGCTTTGCATTCTCTTCCAGCTGAGAAGATATCCTACTCATTCTTGCCATCCATTGTTGATCGAGTAAGCTTTGCTTTGATACCAATTGTGAGGTTCTGAAACATCGATCGATGCTTTTTGTGTTGTTTCTGGCCATGATGAGCCTGAAACGAACAAGGAGAGTGTGTAGGAGAGAATTGAGAGAGAAATGAACAGAGGTTGAAGAAGAATTGTAGACAGAGATGAGAGTTGAGGAAGAGAAATTTTTATTTCATTCATTCATAAATCCTCATTGAACTTTACAACTCTGTATTTATACAGTCTGATTCCAGAGTTTAGGAAATCCGCACACACAATAACGTGCACACAGTTAACAAAAAAAACAGAAACAGTTAGGACTAAACTGGACATTTAATACAGGACCCTTGTAGTTAAAAGTGTTTGCAAGTCAGCCCCTAAGCTTTGCGTATCAATCCCCCAAGCATGCATATCAGTCCTCAGCTTCATAGGCTCTGCTCTGGCTTAGTTCACAGGTTACCAACCTGATCATTGGTCCCTGACAATGTGATCTTCTTCTCTGGATTTAGGGGCGCATTCTGTTCGGATACAGTTCAGATATGATCCTTACCATATTCATATTCGCTTTCTAAAAACGAAAACGTATACAGATACAGATATTCTTTGGTAAAAGAAGAGTCATAACCATAGGCGCATTAAAAAAAAATGTATATGGTTCGGATATAAAGAAGCATGTACGGATATTGTTGATGTTAAATATCACACAGCCAAATAAAGTCACGTAGTTTGCAAGGGGCCGCTTTCTTCTTCGACTTTATGTATTATTTCGGATTTAGGATGATTGAGCAATCTGCACACAAAGAGTCGTAATAGGGTGGGAATAAGTTCCCATGTGGTACCTTCGACGATCAAGTCAGTTGATGAACTTGAGCTTGAGTGGAGTAACAGAACTATGTGTTCTTGTTTTTGTGTAGTGCGTGCTCTTGGGGGTTTTAGATTGTGAACCTTTGGCGATGGAGAATAGCATCTGTATTTATAGGGGATGCCTAGGGCAGATTGGTCACTTCATGAGTGTGCAGTAGGGGATGCCTAGGGCAGATTGGTCACTTCATGAGTGTGCAGTAAGACGGTGGTGAGGCGGTGATGAGGAGTGTGATGGAAAATAAGTCATCATTTTCTCCACACGTGTTGGTTTGTGAGTGGCGGGAGATCACTTCAGCAGCATTGGGAGCCAGCAGCCCGGAGATATAATGATGATCATCAAAGATTAAACAATGTTGAGAAGTAACGCCTATGCTGACAGGTTTGAGATAAGGGCAATCCTTTAGCTTCGTCAAGAAGCAAAGCCCATAGGGTCATATTTTTGAGTTGTTGACTCTCGTGTCGACCGGCACCGTCTTTCTCATCGACTCAGGAGTGTCGGCCTGTCCGGCTGGTGGGAAAGTCGTCTTGTCTCAGCTAACAACCATCTCTTGAGTCGATATAAAGATGTCGACTCGTCTAGGAGATCAGGATCTCCATCAGGCCGATCTCTCATACCGACCTGTAGGAGCGGCCGACCACTAGCGGTGTCCCGGCTTGTTGCGCTGCATCCAATTATGCTGACTCATTCATATCATATATTCGTTGGAACAAATATGTCCCATAACAGCCTATGACTCCATGGCATGGCAAATGGATACTGAAAATGGATATGATTCGCATGAGCAGTGGTATACTATATATATATATATATATATATATAGTAATATTCTATTTATATATAATATATATATATATATATATATATATATTATATATTATATATATATTATAACTATATTATATATATATAATATATATATTTATATATATATAGAGGACGAGAGAGAAGAGAGAGAGAGATGAGTCGAGAAGAGATTGCAGAGGAGGAGAGGACGGACGGAGACGGGAGAGAGAGAGAGAAGAGAGAAATGGCGTATTGCCTTCGGTACCAAGCACAAAAATTATGTGTTGGTAGTGAGCTGACATAATCCCTCTCTCACTATTTCAATGGTTGCATATCCCCATGCACTCCATCAACCACATGTGAATGTTGGTCCCCCATTTGAATGAGTGAGGGGATTGTCTACCCTCACTACAAGCCACAAAATTGCGCTGTGTTTAGTTACCAAGATACCCTAATATTTCCTCTTATATATAATTATATATATATATATATATATATATATAATATTATATATATATATTATATATATATATATATATGGGAAAGTGAATCTAAGGTGACACCCTAGGCTCCCACCTAAGGACGCCGGCCTAAAATCACATCATTTCCTTTTTTTTGCGACCCGCTTCATTAAATTGATCTACACGTTCTTAAACCCAAAAACACACCAATTTGGCGGTGAACCCGTCTGTGTTTTTGCCCTATATCCAAATCGCTGCAAATTTTAACGGTATTCCGAAGAATAGAAGCTTTTGCACGACTAACGACATGGTCATCAAAACCACAACAAATTATATCCAAAATGGCGTGTTTGGCGTTTAAGAACGTGTAGATCAGAGTTACAACGGAGTCGCATCGTAAAAAAATAAAAATGAGTGATTCTAGGCCGCGTCCTTAGCGTGGGAGCCTTTAGGGAGTCCACATTAAAATTCACTTCTCCCCATATATATATAGGAAAAGTGAAAATCTAAGGTGACACCCCTAGGCTCCCACCTAAGGACGCCAGCCTACAATCACATCATTTTTACGATCCGCTCCATTAAACTTGATCTACACGTTCTTAAACCCAAACACACCAATTTGGGGTGAACCCGTCGTGTTTTGACCCTATATCCAATCGCTGCAATTTTAACGGTTTCGAATGAATAGAAGTTTTTGCACGACCTAACGAATGGTCAAAACACAACAAATTAATCCCAAAATTGGCGTGTTTGGGTTTAAGAACGTGTAGATCAAGTTCAACGGAGCGCATCGTAAAAAAATAAGGAAATGATGTGATTCTAGGCCGCGTCCTTAGGTGGGAGCCTAGGGTGTCACATTAGATTCCATTTCTGCTTCCATATATATATATATATATATATATATATACTATATATATACTCGATATATATATATACTAGTATATAGTAGTAGTATAATATATATATTATATATATATATATAGTATATATAAATCCTATATTAACCATGAACTATAGTGAGACATAGTTCACCGTGTAAGTCCTCTATTAACCATGAACTATAGTGAGACATAATTCACCATCTAAGTGCTCCTGCTCATGACCTCTAAACAATAAAAAAATAAAAAAGATCACATAAGAGCAATTCATTGACTTTTCGAGAATAAAATAATGATGTTCGAGTCCTAAATAATGATGTTCGAGTCCTAAAATAAGGGGCACACCCTCAACCACACCTTCAACCACACCCTTTCTCTTATTTGCTACAGTGCACCGGGCCCCTCATGAGATTTTAAGTTTTTAAAATCTCATGTGAGGCCCGGTGCACTGTAGTAAATGAGAGAGGGGGGGTGTGATTGGAGGTGTGGTTGGGGGTGTGCCCCTATCATTTTCCCTAAAATAATCACGCTATAATTAGAGTCATGGATACTAGTTTTAGACGGCAGACAGCTGTACAAATTTAATGCTAGAGTCCTAGATAAAAAAAACGTGTTAGATAAAAAATATTATTAAAATAATGATGTACTAAAACTAGTGAATCAAAAGATGGGTTCTCCACAACATTGATTTTATTTGTAGTACACATATCATTTGGAAGTAGCCGGTGTGAAAAGTCACGCGGAACTATGCGGCCATTATTTGCAGGATATTCGGATTTGGATCCGGTTTTCTTGAGTAAAACTGGATCTGAATCCGTATTGGCTTCAAAAATGAACTGGGGATCCTGATCCGGATCTGGATCCAATTGATTAGCAAATTCACTATCCATATCCGCATCATTTTCC